GCAATGATAATTAATAAACTTATCTTATTTGTCTTTTAGTTGTCTTAAAGAAAATCCAGGGCCTTGTAGTGCAATAAGGAAGGGATTAGAAGAAGAGACTAGTTAAACATAAGGGAAGATTAAGATAATTATTACCCCACGTACCTTTGGTATCGCCAGCGACATAGACCCACTCTCCCAACGTAGCACGAGTCTTGGTCTGAATTAGCAACTGACTCGCCATTGAGACCCAACATTTGATGGAAGGACCCGAGTAGATCATTTAGAGAACAACGCTCACTACCCCCCCTCCGATATTTTTGCGCGTACACCTAAACCATAAAACTTTATTTATTAACCATTGTTCGTTAAAAACAGACCATAACCAAAAGAGTACTTGCATCGTGCGAAACCCCGTGATACAGCAATGATTGGATTACTAATCAATAAAATGGATTTCAAGATAGACGGACTGATGAGAAATGGCTTTTTTGACGAAGAAAGCAACAAGTATAAGAAAAAGCAAGATGAATCAAGAGAACGCTTCAAAACAACTAAAGAAAGAGACATACCATGGGTGAGAGCACAAGAATTCCGAGGAGAAAAAGATGAAGACCCATATGTATGGTTAGAGTCCTATGAAAAAGTCGCCAGAGTCAATAACTGGTCAGACGAAAGAAAGTTAAAAATGTTAGTAAGTCACTTGAAAGGTAATGCAGGAGACTGGTACGACTACCAACAACAACGGTTCGAGTACTGGGACAATGAAAAAGACCGAAGGAGAAGCTTCATACCGTTATTCCTGAAAACCTTCGTAACTTATGAGCAACGACGTCAATGGTATACCGACCTAGTTACCATTAGACAGAGAAGTGATGAGCAAGTAATGGCATACACCCACCGGTTCCGGAAACTGCAAAGGAAGGCCAACCCTAATAACGACCTGTCAGGAAGAGAAAGAGTTAAAATCTTTATGGAAGGGTTACGAAAAAAGGCCGCCGCTGTACTCACCGTCACAACCACCACAACCACCACAACCTTGAACGAAATCCTAGAACAAGTAACACAAGCCGACTTGGATGGAGAATTCGAGACATCTGGTAACAAAAGAGAGTCAGACAAGACGGAAAAGCTGAAAGGAAGAATTCAGGAGTTAACACAACAGATGCGAGACATGAAAGTACGGTTCGATAAACTCAACACACCTGCCGAAAATTCAGGAAGCAAATCAAGGGCAACGAATAAAGAATGTTATGAATGTGATGAAGTAGGCCATCGAGTCAGGAACTGCCCGAAAAAGGACAACATGACGAAAAAGACGGAACAAACCAAAGAAGTTCAATTCCTCGTTGTGGAAGATGATAAAGGAAAAGGAAGGGAAGCTTACGCAGGAGATGTCCAAAATAACAAAGGAAAAAGAAAAGAGGTATTGGAACCAGGGTCCAACTGGGACGGACGTCTAAGGAACAGGCCGAAGCTTGATTCGCGAGACCTCGAGTACTACGACGACACGCTGATACCCAACGAAGACGAGGAAATGGAGGAAGCAACGCCAGCCAGAAGGAAGCCACGACAAAAGAGGGGACCTTCAGAATTAGACAGGACACCCTCCTATAACGTCCTGAAGGATATCCTAGCAACACCTGCCAATGCTACGATAGGACAGATGTTACAGTTTTCAGAACAAAGAGAAATACTGGCAAAGGCAATGAGAAGACCACTTGTTCCGGTAGAAACCAACTATGTGGAAGTCAAAGAAAAAGAAACAACCGCAATGAAATGCCAAATAAAGATTAAGGATACAAAAGTAGATGCTGTTGTTGATATGGAAGCCGCCGTAAGTTTCATATCGAGTAGGTTGATGAATCGGTTAAAACTAAAGATCGAGGAAAAGTCAACTACGAATGTAATATCTGTTACTGGTCTAAGAACGAGAACGCTGGGAAACATCAATAATATAAAGATATCCGTACAAGGAACCTTGATCCCAACGCCACTCCAAGTAATTGACTCCAAAGACGAGACATTGCTATTGGGAAATGACTGGTTCAAAAGGGTGAAAGCTAGAATTTACTATGACCAGCAAAAGCTTGTGATCAGATACGATGGAAAGAAAATCAAGATTCCCATCACGAACGATAAAGCAAAAAAGATGCCAAATACCGAACATGACAATAACGATAAAGTGAGAAGGGAACCGAATATCGAACCTGATAGTGGCGAATTGACTGATGAAGACGATGCAGAGAAGATATTTGATGAAATCGTATACAAAAAAGAAGAAGCAAAAGAAAAGGAAGGATACTATACTGGGGAATTGCATAGTGACTCTGATCCCGATGATAAAGTACAATCTGAGGAACCAGGTCCCGCAGCATACTTAGCCCAGATGGATGAACAAGAAGAAGATGATGATGACGATGTGTTCGTAGAAGCGATGGAAGAATTGCCAGCAGAAGAGGATAGTATTATGGTAAGAGAAGAATTACCAACAACGAGTAACGAAGAAGTGGTAGTAGAAAAAGAAGTTAGCGAAATGACGATGGATGAGGAATTGACCGAAAGTTAAGTACAATAAGGAAAAGACATACTGACGAAAGAACGTGATGCGTTTGTGCAGAGCGTACAAGAGTTAGGATGTACCGATATAGTGTGACATGGTATCGATACTGGAGAAGCTAAGCCAATTAAGCAGAATGCATACAGAGCAGCACCGGATATAAAAGAGTTTATTAGGAAAGAAATTGTGCAACTTATAGAAAGGAGTTTGATCCGAGAATCGAAGAGCCCGTGGACGTCGCCGATCGTGGTTGTACCGAAAAAAGGAGGAAGACTATGATTATGTGTCGATTATCGCAAACTAAATGCTGTAACGAAGAAGGATGCTTACCCCTTGCCCCGAGTGGATGACTTGATTGAGACTTTCTCCAAGGCCAACTGGTTTAGTACCCTTGATTTAATGTCAGGATATTGGCAAGTAATGATGGAGGAAAGGGATCGTGAGAAGACCGCTTTTGTGACGAACTGGGGGACGTATGAATTCAATGTTATGCCGTTTGGGTTGTGTAATGCCCCGGTAACGTTTCAAAGATTGATGAATACACTGCTAAGTGAATTTATAGGGAAGTTCGTAGTGGTGTATTTAGACGATGTAAACATTTACTCCGAAACTTTCGAAAGTCACGTGACGCATGTAAGTGCGGTGATCCAAAAGATGAGAGAAGCCAAATTGAAACTCAACTTAGAGAAATGCACTTTCTTTCACCCGAGCATCATCTTCTTGGGACATGTCATGAGCCGGAGAGGTATCTGATCTGATGAAGGAAAGGTGGATAAAGTTAAGAACTTTCCTATACCAAAGAATTTAAGGCAGTTGAGAGGGTTCGTAGGTTTAGCGTCGTATTACCGAAGATTCATACCAGGCTTTGCAACGATCGCACGACCACTCCACGACCTGATGAAGAAGCATGTTAAATTCAAGTGGGAAACAGAGCAAAATCACGCATTTGAGGCATTGAAACAGTACTTAGTTACCACTCCGGTTCTAAGATACCCCGACTTTGCGAAAACATTTTTTGTGCATACTGATGCTTCTGGAGTTGGGCTAGGCGCAGTATTAGCCCAAAAAGATGACGAAAATAAGGAATACGTAGTATCGTACGCTAGTAGGGCGTTAAACAAGCATGAGAGAAATTATGCCGCCACGGAGCTGGAGTGTCTTGCAGTGTTGTGGACAGTCGAGCACTATCAGCATTACTACGGCATGAACCCCTTTATAGTAGTGACCGACCACCTAGCATTGAAGTGGTTGCAGACAACAAAACTATCAGGAAGACGCGTAAGATGGATTTTGAGACTACAACCTTTTAATTTTACGATCGTACATCGCAACGGCAAGAAGCATAACAACGCTGACGCATTGTCCCGTCTCTAAAACCAACACAAGTTAACCGATAAAGGGGAGTAAAAGATAAAAGGAGTGGAAGTGGAGGAAGCAAGTTAGTAAGACTGCCGCGGAAAAAAAAAAAAAAAAAAAAGAAAGAAAAACAACAACAGACGAATAAATCCGAGGAACAGAATCCAGCCCAGGTTCCGGTGTCCTGGCAGAACTACAAAAAAAAAAAAAAAATGGAGTCTATACAATTCAACCATCTTAAGTATTACTTGCAGCATCAAGAAGCGCCGCCAACACTTGACAAAGAAGAAGGGCAGCAACTACAGAAAGAAAGTAAGAAATATGTATACAAGGACGGCATTTTATATAAAAAGAAAGGAAATAACGAAGAGCGCCTTTTGCACGTGATTCAACGGCATAAGATAGAGCCTGTGTTGTTCTTAACACATAGCCATCCATTAGGAGAACATTTCAACAGCGATACTATGCTAGCAAAAATCAAAGAAACATACTTTTGGCCGTGAATGCGCGATGATGTACACATGTACGTACAAACCTGTGATCAGTGCCAGTGACAAGGAAAATCCCAAATGAAAGGATCATTACAGCCAATACCAGTAGTAGCCCCGTTTCATCAGATAGGAATTGACTTTGTGGGACCACTACCCCACACACCCCGACAGAAACGATACATCATTGTTGCCATGGACTACATAACGAAATGGCCCAAGGCGTTAGCAGTAGAAAGAGCGGATGCATCGATGGTAGCTGATTTTATTTACAATGAGATCATTTGCTGCCATGGTTGCCCGGAACAGATAGTAACGGATCGAGGCACTCACTTTAAGAACGAATTGATCAAGACGTTGATGACGAAGCTGCAGAGCAAGCACAAATTTACCACACCATACCATCCACAGACGAATGGATTGGTAGAGCGTTTTAATCGTACATTGTGTGAGGCAATAGCTAAGTTAACTCAGAATGTGGAAGACTGGGATCTAGTGATTCCTTCAATCCTGTTTGCATACCGTATGGCGAGGCATGCAACGACAAAGATGACACCGTTTTATTTGGTGTATGGTCGAGAGGCCCGGCAGCCGATACAACCGA